TGTGAATCAGAATTGAAGCTCTAGATACCAATTGTTAGAGTTAACAACAAAACTCCATTGGTGCACAATAAGAAAAAGAAGAAAGAATTAAAGATTTACAGACACACACATACGTACACACACGCGCACACACACACACAGAGGGGGGGGGGGGGAGAACATAACTTACTTTTCTTCAACAAACTCAGTTTCTCAAAATATTCAATTATGTTACAAATGTAACTAACTTTGAGTTTATATATATTAACCAAAATGAAACACAAATGCAAATGTAAACTTAAATGAAAACTGAACATAAAACAACTTGAATTTGGATTACATTTAACAAGACCAATGTTTGTCGTTGAGAGATTCATCAACTTCATTTGTCTCACTTTTGGAAACAAAAACCATAAAGTTACAAACTTTGATAATGAAGTGTCATGTTGTGTCTCCCTTAAAAATATCCCCAATAACATTCTAGATAAGATGATCTTTAGTAACCCTCCATTCTTTAAGATCGTGATTATCATTACTTGATTCCTTTTCTTGACTTTGGTATCTATCTTGATCTTCCTTTTGATCTTTATCTTAGTATTTATTTTGATGTTTCTCTTATAGAGATGTTTTCTCCAAGATACATGCAAATCAACCATATTTACCTCTACAACACATATGAGGTTAGTTCAACAAGGTAATGTGTATGAACTCTTCTATATTTAAGGTATTGTTTGAAAAAAATAAAAATAAAACAAGAGATAACTTTGGAAACTTAAGGAACTTGCCTATAGTAGTGTTACAACATACTATATTACATTTGTTATACAATTTATGTGTTATTAAGTAAATTGTTTTATACACTTGCAATTCTCAAAATAGTTCAATAGTATATATAAGGCTCTTATCAATAACTCTTGAACCAATTTTTTCAATCTTTGTTGTTAATATGAAAAGCTTGTCCTCTCGTAAGAGTAAGAGAAGAGAAAACTTTTATATCTTCGATCATATAGCTTGAACAACCACTATCACATTTTGAGTTCAAGTAATTAGATTTAAATTTGTTTGACCACTTTAAATCTTTTGTTTTTGTTGTGAATCTTGTTGTGAATTACGACAAAATTCAATATCAATTTGTGAGGCAAAGAACAATAGCAACCAAAATAAACGGTCTTCAGTAATAATAATCCATACACATATAATATAACATAATAAGGCAAGAAAAAACCGAAGGTTTGTTTACCCAGTTCGATCAAACGATCTACTCTGGAGGAGAGAGCAACTCTCCAATTCACTATACTCAGAAAGTTGTTACAAGAGATTAAAAATAAGTTACAAGAAAATAGCATTCGCCTTCAGGTTCCCAAGAACAACCCTGAAGGCGTCCAAGAACAACCTTATTTTCTACCCAAGTGTTTCCCTACATCTCCAACTCTCAATATATGAATCACTCAAACCCAAGGTGTAATCCAAGGTTTTCTTTGTGCATAGCTAAAACCCTATGTTATACCTTTAAACTTTTCCTCTCCCTTGTTGATGAAAGCCTTAAGATTGTCACACACCAAACATATAAGAGGTACATGTTTATAATAGCAAATACTCAGCAAACAAAGCCCAAAATCACATGGATCTATGGACCGAATAAAAAAAGTTCAAAAACTCGAAAAAAAACTATTCACTGTACGAACACCACTATTCACCGTATGTACGTCACTATTCATCCGTACGGATAGCAATATTCACTGTACGGGATGACACTATTCACCGCCCGATTTTTTTTCTCGACTTTTCGTCCGATTTTTGCGGTAAATGCAATCTTCAAAATATGTTTTCTTTCTCTTTATCAACAAAAGTTTTAAGACACATTTACAACAGTTTTACTAAAACAATTAGGTTCAAGATGACCAAACTTACAACACTAATTGCATTTATAAACAAATTGATTAGTTTTCTTTTTAGTATATGAAAGATATTGCTAAAAACTTTATAATTGGTTTTAGGTTTATATCAAAAACCAACTTTATTATGCGATGTTCTTTAATTACTTAGAAGAAGATTCAATTTATTTCTTCCTTTAGTGAATTTATCATGTGTGTTAGACAAATCATCATTTTTATTTTTGAAAACGTCACATTGATCACACTTGATAGATTTAACTAAGATTTCGTGAGAAGATCAAAGATTTTGAATTAAAACATTTTGTGTTTAAAATTTTCTATTTCTTGCAAGAGATTTTAATTTTCAAAATCAAGGAAAGACATTTTCTTTTTAGAGGTGGAGAAATAATGTTTTAACTTACTTGTTTCTTTATTTAATTTCTTGTAAGTGTGAAATCAATCATAATAAGAGAAATATAAAGTTACTTCGTATTCTTCGTGATTTGCCATGAGAAAGATCTGAGAAATATGTCATTGTCATCTCAAATGATATTGGTATTTTTTTGCTTCTTTTAAAATTTCTTGAATTTTATGTAATTATGTTTTTTCTTTGATTTTAAGGACATTTTAGTCTTTCATAGTCTTTTTTCTAATTTGAAAGCAAATAGAAATGAATGAAGACTTTTATTTATTCTTGTGTTGATCTTCTTTTTACTTTTGAAATTTTATACTACTTTTGTTCATTTATATAAGAGATAACTTACTTTTTAAGTTTATTGAATAATTAATGTATCTAGTCTATAAACTATATTGGTTATTCAATGAACCTAGAAAATGAATTGTCTCTTATATAAAGGAACGGAGGTAGTATTATATATTAGTTAAGTGTTAAGAGAATTGATTAGGTTTTGTTAGAGGAGTTAACTACAATTAATTAAACTTATATAAATACTTTTAATATTGGATGCTTGTAGTCAGGTTTAAAAGCATTATGAGAAAATCACTGAAATTCATTTATATTATCAATTGATTAATTTAATAAATTAGAAATATAAATAATAGAGAGGAAAATATATTTATCAAAATTTTGGTCAAATTAATTTTTGAAATTGATATTGAAGCAAATAGTATAATCAAATACTAGAATTAAAAAATAGTTAATTTTAAAATAAAATTAATTTTAATTAACATGGGAATAATACTTCCTTTTAGTTCTACATATAAGAAGAAATTTTACTTTTCAAATTTATTGAATATTCAATATATTTGAATTATATAATAAATAAGTATATTAATTATTAAATAAATAATAGGACTAAGGTAGTACTTCTTTTAATTTTTAATATAAAAAAATATTTTTAATTTTTAATATAAAAAAAGTTTAAAAATTTAATTGATATATATTATAAAAATATATTAATTTGTCATATTATACCATTAACTTAAAATTTATCATATGATATAACGAGATGCATAAAAATGATTAATAAACACTATAAAATAATTTTATAAATATATATTAATTAAACTCTATTTTTAAATTTATTGATATCTAATTTAGTAGGTATAATCAAAATACATAGATTCTTGGTTTTTTCACTCATCTGCCCCAATTTGAAATTAAAAATCCCATAATACCCCACCCTAAAATATATTTATGAATCTACCCCACTTTCAGTGTGGGTTCGTCCATTCAATTGACGAACTTATGAAAGAAATTTAGTCCAAGAGTGAGCTCGTCCATCCAATGGACGAGCATGTGAAAGACCAAATTTTTTTTCTGTTTTATTTAAATTAATGATTTACTAATTAATAATTTACTATAAATAATAATTCATATTTTATAAGTTACTATAAATACTACAAACAAAATACATTTCACTTATCTCAAATTATTTATAGTATTTAAAAATACTAATTATTATTTATGATATTTATAAGTTATTTATAGTATTTTATAAGTGAAATGTATTTTGTTTATAGTATACATTTCTTTAATATAATACCAATTATAAATTTTTAAATAATTGGTATTTTAATAATTGGTATTTAAGATAATTATTATATTTAAGATAATACCAATTATTAGACTTTTAATATAAATTTTTAAAAATTAATAATTAGTATTATTTATAGTATTTTTAAATACTATAAATAACTTGAGATAAGTGAAATGTATTTTGTTTATAGTATTTATAGTAACTTATAAAATATAAATTATTATTTATAGTAAATTATTATTTATAGTAAATTATTAATTATTAAATTATTAATTTAAATAAAACAAAAAAATATTAATCTCAAGTTATTTATAGTATTTAAAAATACTAATTATTATTTATGGTATTTTTAAATATTAAATACTATAAAATACCATAAAATACTAATTATTATTTATGGTATTTTTAAATACTATAAATAATTTGAGAGAAGTGAAATGTATTTTATTTATAGTATTTATAGTAATTTATAAAATATGAATTATTATTTATAGTAAATTATTAATTAGTAAATCATTAATTTAAATAAAATAGAAAAAAAAATTGGTCTTTCACATGTTCGGCTCACTCTTAGATCAAATTTCCTTCATTAGATTGGCAACTAAATGGACGAACCCACATTAAAAATAGGGTACATTCCTAAATATTTTTTAAGACAGGATATTATGGAATTTTTAATTTTAAATTGGGGTAGATGACTGAAAAAGCTAGATTCTTCAAAAGATGACTCTTAAATCAAACAAAAAAATGAGTATTTCTAGAAAATCCTAATCAGTGTGATAATACTATGTATGCAAGTAATATTGTTTTTCTTTACCTGTCCTTTTCACCTCTGTTTACTCCTGTAAGAGATACTGGCACATGGTATGCATGATCAACACATGGATTCTCATCCTTGCCTAAAGTCAAATCATGTGTTCTGTAGACAGTGAATGCAAACAAACCTACCCGAGATTTGTCTGGTTCTGAAAATCAGAAACTAATATTTGCGCGTAGAAAAAACACTAATTAAAAGTTATCCATTTACTCTAGGATGATCCAAATCATTTCACTGTAATTTTTACAATCTCACGATAAATAGTACAAATATTTACATGAACAAAAAAAAAGCATACAATAATATTAAATTTTCTGTGTGCGCACACCTTCAGACACGACCAGTGATACATGAAAACATTCTATGACTTCTAGACCTATCAATTTTTTTTGGAGGAGAAACAGAAACAGAACCAGATCTTATCTGATCTGAAAACTGGAAGCCAGTACCCACAGTTTTGCTTCTCCGGTGACCAATGTTTTTGTCTGAATTAGGTATCTGACTATGATGGAGTGGTTGATTTTTTTGAGGATAGATCTCAGCCATACTGATGTTGTAGGTTCCCGATGAAAGACACTCGTATTGTCGTCTTGTTCTGTTTTTCTTGACTGCTTTCAATACAAGAGGTAGAAGACCTTCCATAGCGCTTTTATTACTCTTGCTGGTGTAAATATTAAGAACAGAATTTGAATACTATATATATAAGAAATTGTACTAGAAATATAATGATACGAGAGAGTGCAAAATGGAGGAATTTAAGAAGCAGGGTAGAAGAACAAGTTGCTGAATTAGGTGGGTTTCTGTTGTTGTTTATAATATTTTGTTTTTTTTTTCTTCTTTTTCTCTTTCTATGTTGCTTCCGGTCGTACTTTTAGACTTGTTCAACCATGTGCTTGACTTAGGTAGCTAATACGAAGAAGCCATCTGGTGGTTCTGTGTGGTTGCGTGTCACGGCAATAGGAACAAAATATTTATATTATCTTACTTTAGATAAATTATTTGATATTAAAATTAACTAGTCTTTAATCTTGCAAATATTTGAAACTCTACCAAGTCTTACTCATACTCCTAAAATTGTCTGCCCCGGTAATTAGGCTTATTAATTTATGCAACACCATTTAACAGCGGATTACGAAGATTCTTGTGACAGAATGAGTCCTATTTTAAATACTCGTAGATGTATTTTGAAAGAATATGTTTAGTTAGTTAGAGAAAGATTCTCAGTTGGATAACTAATGTAGCTCAACAGGATCTTTCATTTTAAACTATTTGGTTAATTGTAATTTTAAATTATCAATCCAATAACATCATCACTTGTAAGTATTATATAATTAACATATAACGAAAGTAACATAAAACTATGGGAGGTGGTTCTTGTTGAGGAGTCTAGAGAAGGCAGGAGTATCAATGAGAGCAATGTTCCAAAACTACAAGAAGCGATACTATATCTCAATTCAAAACCTTAAGGTGATACGTGAGTGAATCATCTCTCTTATAAATATAACGTTCCACTCACTCATAGGCAATGTGAGATTTTAATCACTCACACTTGCACTCAACATTTTCTTCCACAAGTGTGAGTTTTTCGCATCTTATAACAGGATCTAACATCAGATCCAACTTTTGCTCCTTCACCAAGTCGAACCACGACTCCGATATCACTATTGTGGAGTTTGGGAGAGTCGGGAACACTAATGAGACTAATGTTCTAGGATCACAATAGAGGGAGACACCACATATCAACCCAAAACCTTAAGGTTTTGGGCAAATGAGTCATTTCTCCTATAAATTCAACATTTCACTCATTCATAGGCAATGTGTGACTTTAATCACCCACTCTTGCACATAACATTGTTGTGTTCAAGTGTGAGTTGGAAGTTCCACATTGCTTAGAAAAGTGGAGGTTTGACACTTTATAAGTGAGATGACTCATCCATCTATCACCTTAAGATTTTTGGTGAATATGTGGTGTCTCTCTCACTTGTGTGTTGCTCTTGACCTAATGTAGGTGCTTCTCATGATGATCCAACAATGATATTAGAGCCAATGGTTTAATTAAGGGACTATCTCCTTGTATCGAAAGTCTTCCTGACAATGTAGTGGTGAGGCGGCGTGTTGCGTTGGAGTGTCTGCAACGACAATACAAGTGTATATGGATGAAAGAGTTTCTGCTTGAGGAGGAGCATAATGGATGAACACACTTAAGGGGGAGATTGTTGTGTACAAGTGTGAGTTGGAAGTCCCACATTACTTAGAAAAATGGAGGTTGAGCACTTTATAAGGGGGAAATTATTGTGTACAACTGAGTTTGAAGTCCCACATTGCTTAGAAAAGTGGAGGTTGAACACTTTATAAGTGAGATGATCCATACACCTATCACCTTAGGAGTTTAGGTGAATACGTGGCGTCTCTCTCACTTGTGTGTTGCTCTTGACCTAATGTGGATGCTCTTCATGATGACCTAACAGTTCTGAAAAATAAAGATGAATCATGATCACTAGAGCGAAAACCAAGAGATGTAATAATAATAGAAAACTTCCCAAACCAAGTCTATGAAGCTTGTTTCAAACCATATAAAGCCTTTTCAACTTACACATTTCTCCGTGATTGTGAGAAACACTTGGAGGAGGTACCATATAAACTTCCTCGTGAATATCATCATTTAGAAAAGCATTTTTAACATTCATTTGAGAAACATGCCACTGGAAAACCTAAAAAACTACAATAAGAGTGTCAATAGTAGTCATATTGGAAACTGGAGCAAAGGTTTCTTTATAATCCATGTCATATTGATGAGATAGCCCTTTAGTAACAAGATGCGCTTTGTAGCGCTAACTGGACCATCAAAATTAGTTTTGATTTTTTATAACCAACGAGAGTCCAATAACACATTTTCCAGTAGGAAGACATAGCCTGTTCTCAAAGGGGATCAAGTAGAGCCTCTTTATAGGAAAATGGCTCATAGAAATTGTAAATAGAGGTTATCAAAGAAGAAAAATAAGCAGAGTAAGTGGAATAGAAAAAATCAAACAAGTGGGTAGACTTACGATCACAAGACGAATAATAAGAAGGAGGAGAAAAAGGATAATTAGTTGTGGGAGGTTGTTAGGTAGTTGTAGGGACAAGAGTGATGTCAATATCAGGATTAACAATAGTATCATACATGCAGTTCTCAAAATTACAATCACTAGAAATATTTGTGGAACACTGTTTTGTAGGTTACTTAAAGAAGTAACCAAAAGAGCTCTTAATAATGTGCTTTTGGTGATGAGAAATAAAAGGAGCTCTTGATGATGGAACATGTATGGAAACTTGCATAACAACCTTTATAATTATAGTGTTATATTTGTAAAAGACTTGGCAAGGGAGGAAACTTTGTAGTCCCGGGAGGGCGACGACCATGTGTCGTCTTTCATAGGGTATCGCCTCACCCCAAGTAACTTCCACACACCCAAATAGGGGAAACGTGAGAAAAGACGTTTCTTAGGAAGAGAGATGCAAAGGTAAGTATATTGTCCTCGAATCCCTAGGAAATAAGGATTCAACGGTCCAACATTGATTAAGTGGGGGTGATCCTTCCCAAGAAAACCCTAGGCCCAGAGGTCTATATAAACAGTTATCCCCATAACAAGGGAAGATATATCATAACTTGAATATAAAAACTCAATCATTATGCTAAGATACAAAGCCTATTGCCTCATGTGAACAGGTCATCTAAAAACGCTATAACATCATCATACAAGGCTTCTCATCATTGTGGGCAAGCACAAACTATCTTAAATTGTTATAAACCTACTAAGACCTCTAAGTATCCCTTACTCTTATAGGAATACCATGCATACTTATGCTTTTTTACCAGTGTAGTGGTGCCCATCATGGGGCTCCAATAAAACTAACCTCGGTTGTACCTTTTTTATTCTCACTTTTCCATCTTCTTTCTAAAGATGGATGATACATTTTTATGCTCTATCAAAAACACCATATCCAGGGGTTTCACTGGTGGAGGTAGTTCATACTCCTCTTGAAGAAAATACACAAGTAATGTGCTTGCTGCAAATGTGATATCTTTTGGTTTCCCCAGAAGTGAACAAGGGTAAGTAGGGGTTAGCATCACCTTTTTCGAAAGGGATTCCATCGGAGTCAACCCTCATGATAATGACCCTCGGGTCATCATCATACAACATGGTAAATGGGATATCAAGTGAGTCTTGATAGATCTTGGGAGCTCTACTGACGTCTTATTCTGAGATACTTTTCAGAAACTTTAGCTTAATCTTAATGATGTCAAAGTGTTCAGTGGCTCGTTAATATAACTATCATGCAAACATGTACGAGTAAGGGGCCACATGACCTTATATACAACATGTGGTGAGGAGAAGATGCCAAGGTGATTGTCTTCTGTTACCTTATTGTGAACGCCATATCGCCCTATAATATCATCATAGGCCGACCCACCAGTAATGCACTATGGGCGGTTATTTCCACCTAATATTTAGTCTTGAAGCACTCATTTCCTATAGGGGAATTGGTACATTTCTAGGAAACCAATAGATCGCTGAAGAATGCTATCAGAATAGTATGGATACATAGAGGGGAGAGCTCACACTTCTTGGCATCCCATCCCTAAGGTCTTAAATTTAGAACTCGATGGTTCGGATCTCAGGTTGTGCGTGAAAGTTGTAAGACTCGCACCCATAGAGGACTTGAAGGAGATCCGAATAAAACCTTCAGCCTATCAAGTGACAAAGATTTTTTTTCGCTTATCGAGGAAGAAAAACACGAACTAGTTAACCATCTCATTAAAAGCATCGACTGGTTCACTTTAGCCCCCTCTGATATGTCCGAGAAAGACACTAAGTTGGTGATTCATAACCTCACCATACATCCCTGTTCCAAACCAGTGGCACATAGGAAACAGAAAGTTGGTAGGGAGAAAATGGCTACCATTGACGAGGAAATAAGCAAGCTATACAAGTCAGGTTCATTACAAAAACAAAATACCTTACCTGGATGGCCAACATGGTGTTGGTAAGGAAAGCAAACAACAAATGACACATGTGTGTGGACTTTATTGACCTGAACGCCACCTGTCCCAATGACCCGTATCCACTATAATTGCCTTATCATGGGGTCTTTAGGCTACTGCACATTGAGCTTCATATATGTCTTTTCAACATATAACCAAATTCAGATGGATCCCTTGGACGCCCTCAAAACTTCCATTCATGTCAAATCACGACAACTACCACTACAATATTATGCCATTTGACCTAAAAATTGTTGGTGTCACCTATCAGTGACCCATGGATGTCGTGTTTTCCCACTAGATTGGGTGGAACCTAGAGGTCTATGTAGACGATATGATAATAAAGACTACTGAAGGGTGCTACCATGCTGAAGATTTAGAGGATATCCTAAAGTTAGTTAGGAAGTATAATATACGCTTGAATCCTGCCACGTACTTTTTTAGAGTTTATGCTGTGAAGTTTCTAGGGTTCATTATGGCGAAAAAAGGCATTCAAGACAACCCAGATAAATGACAGGTCGTCATCACTATGAGAAGCACCACCAATATCAAAGAAGTGAAACATCTCACTAGTTGAATTGTCGCCTTATATCGCTTCCTTTCATGTGTGGACGAC